TTGATCAGTTGGAATTCTTGGAAGAAACCATGAGTTTTTTTTGTAAACTCATTTGGATTGATCATCAACAAGTATTTACTGAAAGTCATTTTGATGATCCCAATTTATTTGATCAGATATAGGGGTGATTTGTATTTCAAAATGGTTATTGAATATTTGGGATGTATTTAAAACATTTCGGAAGTAAAAGGAGATTGGTGTTGTGTTCCTAGTCACATAAAAAATGATATTTTTATGTGAATAACAAAAAAAACTTTCTCAACCAAATACCCATTAAAAAGAGAAATATCACAATTTTTACCTTCCTAAAATAATTATTTTGCACGCAAAAATTGTTTTAGCTACCCATGAGATGCACCCCCCGCCCCACTTAAGACTTCCAACAACATCCACAATGAAATGTGTTTAGAGAAGTTTATGTCATAAAATAACAACAAGGAGGACTTAATTTTGTTAATCGGGAGGGGTATCCAAATTGACCGTAGTATTGTTGGGTGAATTGCCCAAACCTTTGGTCGATGCCTTGCAAATGCTCCTCCATCGTTGTTTGGCGTGTGAGGAGCTCCTCTTGCCGGGTCTCATACACATTCATTCGTGTATGCTTGTGATCCATGGAGTCTACGAGATTCTATATTTTGTGTCATGGTCCGTCGTGGCCGGGTTACAGGTTGTGCCTCCCGTATCTCTTCATCAGCACCCTCGTTGTCCACGTCCTTGCAGACCCATGCATTACCCACCATTTTGAATTGGATGGACACCATAGTACTTGCCTTCAAAATTTGGGATCTGGATTTGTACTCCTCCACCTCTTCAATTGTAAGGTCGACGTCGAAACTCCTGAAAATCATGGTGAGTAAAAGAGGATAAATAAAATTTTTATCACTTCTTTTGGTATTGACGACGCCTCTCATGTCCATCATGATGAGGGGAGCCAAAGAAATTCCCTCGAGTTGTCCAAGTCCGTGGATCATTTTGTACAGAAGATAGAGGTCCATCCGCCGAAGTACATGCATGTCGCTAGCTTTTGGCAAGATGTTGAAGCTGAGAAGGCATGCGATTAGTCTCTCTCGGGGTCCAAGAACATGGGCCCTAAGATCTTCATTGAGTCCAAATTCGTTCATTGCATCTATCTCCATGTAAGCAGGGTCGCTTAGCACTACTTGGGAGTTCATTTCAATAGGAGGGCCGACGTTCAGGATTTGAAGCATGTTTCACAATCGGTCTTTGCTCATCGCGATTTTCTTACCCTTGACAATGCTCACGATGTTGCCATACGGGTTAGTTTTCCGCCCAATGTTTGCGTATAATTCCCGCACGAGCCGCGGGTAAAATGCTCCAGTCATAGCATGTTCGAAGCTTCTGAGAGTCGGTAAAGGTTGTTGATCACAGAGTCAACGGTCAAGGTGAGCATGATGGCCCACCCTAGCATGTCAGGAAGCTTTTGATAGATAGGGTGGGCCATCATGCTCACCTTGACCGGAGCATTTTACCCGCGGCTCATGCGGGAATTATATGCAAACATTGGGGGGGGGGGGACTAACCCGTATGGCAACATTGTGAGCACTGTCAAGGGTAAGCAGAGCAAAGACCGATTGTGCAACATGAGTCAAATTCCCAACTTACATGGAGATAGATGCAATGAACGAATTTGGACTTAATGAAGATCTTAGGGCCCGTGTTCTTGAACCCCGAGAGAGACTAATCGCATGTTTTCTCAGCTTCAACATCTTGCCACAAGCTAGCGACATGCATGTACTTCGGCGGATGGACCTCTATCTTCTCTAGAAAATGATCCACGAACTTGGACAGCTCGAGGGAATTCCTTTGGCTCCCCTCATCATGATGGACATGAGGGGTGTCGTCAAGACCAAAAGAAGTGATAAAAACTTGGCTAAAAGGGTCAAATAGGCCCCTGTACCTATTCGGAATGCTCGATTCGCACCCCGAACTCAATAAAGCTCCAATTCACCCCCTGAACTCGCCAAAAAAGTTCAAATCCCATTTTTGGCAGGTGAGTTTCCGGTCATTGCCACGTCAGTCGGTTAGATGCCAACCGTGCATCCCACGTGGAAATCTAAGGGGTCAAATAGACCCCTGAACCCGACAAAATTGTTCAATTTACCCCCTCAACTGTTAAAACGTGTCCAAATTGTCATTAAAAAATAAAAATAAAAAATCAAAAAATATAAATAATATACAAGTTCATAATATAAAATATGTGAGTCTATTTATAATATGACAATAAATTATTTATATTTTAGGGTAAATTTAAATTTTAAAATATTTATGAGTCTATTTATAATATGACAAAATATTAAAAAATTTAATATTAATTTATAAAAAATGTATGGTTGATTTTTTAAATGGATTTTAAATATCAAAATATTTTTTAATGAATTTGTTTCGTTTTGTTTTATGTGAATTTACCGCAAAAAATAAGGATATATTTATATTTACAGCAAATTCATATAAAATAAACTAAAAGATATTCATTAAAACTATTTTTAATATTTTTAATATGTTTTAGATTTATATGTAAAATTACACATACATGCATATATGTATATATACTTCATATTATTTTATTCTAGAATCATATACTACGTACTATACTTCATACTAATTACATGCAACATAAAATTTTTGTACTATATAAAAATTATAATATGTAAATAGCTAGGGACTACTACATTTTTATAATATGTATTTAAAAAATAAGTACCTTCATTATGTTTATATATATATATATTCAATTTCCCCTGAAATATAAAATTGTCTTATTATATTATAAATAGACATCTATGTTTTATATTATGAACTTGTATGTCATTTTATTTTATTTTTTTTCTATTTTTTAATTCATATTTTTAATAGCAATTTGGACACTTTTCAACGGTTGAAGGGGTAAATTGAACAACTTTGTCGGGTTCAGGGGTCTATTTGACCTCTTAGATTTCCACGTGGGATGCACGGTTGGCATCTAACCGGCTGACGTGGCGACGACCGGAACTTTACCTGCAAAAAATGGGATTTGAACTTTTTTGGCGAGTTCAGGGGGTAAATTGGAGCTTTTTTGAGTTCGGGGTGTGAATTGAGCATTTTGAACAGGTACAGGGGCCTATTTGACCCTTTAGCCTAGATAAAACATACTCCGTATTGAATTCGACCGGAACAGGCTATCGGTGCTTATCCAAAATATTGATACCGATTGTTTTGGTAGTGTCGTACAACGTATGTACGTGACGTTATTGTTTGGTAGTAGGGCTGTTAACGAACCGAGCTTTTATCGAACTATTCGAGCTCGAGCTCGATTTCGAACCTAACGAGCCGAGCTTAACGAGCTTCGAACTCGAACTCGAGCTGAATTTTAAGTTCAAAAAATTAATCGAGCCGAGCTCGAACATAGTAGTTTTCGGCTCGGTTCGAACTCGAGCCTATCGAACACCCTAAAATTTTAAATATAATTTTTATATATGACAAAATTTAAATATAATTAGTATGGTTTTATGAATTTAAATATGATTATTAATGAACCGAATACTTGTCGAACCATTCGAGCACGAGCCTATTAACGAGCATCATCCAAAATTTTAAATTTGGGCATATTTATCGAGCGCTCGGTTCGAACATCGAACGTCTATCGAGCCGAACACGAACCTTATTTGTAAAGCTCGCCGAGCTTCGAGCTCGAATTCGAACACCCCTAATTCCTTATATGTACGTGACGTGATTGTCTACTTGCATTTTGGAATTGGTTTCTTTTTTTCGAATGACTTTCTTTGATGAACATGAAATTGACAAATTACTCACCATATGTATGTGTGCAGTGGCCGAACCAACCTGAGTTCCTTGGAAGGGCAAAAATTGGGAAAAGGGATTTTTTTTAACAACGCGGGGCGGCTTGCTGCGACTCTCGAATTCCGGTCTCCGTCAAGTAAGTGGCAATGAGAGGAAGTATCGAAGAGGCTACGATGTTGCGTACTATGAGTCGATTGGAAGAGGATGCGTCCACCGTCTAGATCGTTGTGGCTTGATGCGCAAGAAAGGTCTCAGACAGGCGACAAGGTGAGCACCTTTTTATTTTATTTTATTTTATTTTTTGTTTTTAAAAGAAGGGTATCTTGATTATTACCCATTTACAAAATATAAAAGCTTTCACTAGCTTGAGAACAATAATAAATATTTGGATGCAATATGATTTTATAATCCACGTTGTACTCCTAATTACTCCTTATAAAAATTTATTCACCCATTTCACCCCACCTAGGGGTGGACCGGGTCCGGTCCGGTTACGGGTCGTGCACTCATGCCCGGGCGGGCTTGGAATTATTTGGGTTGGGCTCGGGACCGGGTGTCTACCGGTACCGGGCCGATTTACTACGTTTTCTTATTATTCCAACCCACATCCCCCAAACCCTACCAAAACACCAGCCCATCCCACGTACTGTAGGCCCAAATCCAAAAAAACACAAAAGAAGACCTTGACCCGGACCCCAATTATCCAACCCCGGAATCGGCCCTAGACCCCCCCCCCCCCTTCGGGTCGGGCCTAAGCCCAGTACCGGAACCGGTTCACAGGGTTGGGCCAGTCCCGCACAGTGGCGGGCCGGTCCGGTTCCCGGGCCGGGTAGACCGGCCCCGGGCCATGCTAGTCCCCACCCCACAAAGGTCCAACAAAATTTATCTATGGCTTAATGCACCTAGGAGGTGTTTACTTCACTGCTAAAGTCACAGTTAGGTTAGTAAGACAGGTGAAGTAAACACGCACACTGCTTAAAAAGCCGCTTACTAACCGAAAGAGGTGCTTAAAGTGCCGCTTATTAAGCATACCACCCCCCATGTATTAATTAAGCGGCACCGTAAGCTTTTTCAGTTTCCGAATTTACCCCTTGCTCTTAACCTATTGTTATCCCTGCCCCACCTCGACCCCAACCCCACCTACGTGGATGAAACCCTAGAGTGCCGAGTTCGAAGGTAATCGAAAACTCTCTTTAGCTTTCTGTTGAATTGTAGACTTTAATAGATAAATCATATTGAATTCGACGCCGAATCTCGATTCCACAATTTCACTTCCTCCACCGGAACAGGCTATCGGTGCTTATCCAAAATATTGATTCTGATTGTTTTGGTAGTTATGATATGCGCTTTGTATGTATGCGACGTGATTGTCTACTTACTTTTTGTAATTGGTTTCTTTTTTTCGAATGATTTTCTTTGATGAACATGAAACTGGCAAATTGCTCACCATATGTATACTCTGTTTTCGATTAAATAAATGATGCTATGCTTGAAATTATTTGGAATCAAACTGAATGAATTTAACTTTTCAATAACTATCTTCTAGCATTGAGTAATTGAGTAGAAAGCTATCGACTTTACCTTCAAGCAGAGAGGAAAGCACACAAACGAACCTTTTCAGTAAGGAAACAAGAAATGGTGAAGACTTCAGAGGCCTACAACTTAAGATCAAGAACAATCTACAAGTCACACGTCCGGTAAGTTTTTCTTTTTAGTCCAGGGGGTCTGGGGGATAGGGGGACTGGGGTCTCGAGACACCCCACTAGACACTAGACACTGTAACCTCGCAAAACCCAAACATGTGGCAGATCTGCTCGGGCAAAGGAATCTGATAGGTAACCACTGATTATGGTTACATGTTTATTTGCTTGGCTATTTGTTTGGTTGGGTATGTGGGCATAAATATAAGCCCGGTGACATGACTAAAATTGGCTGAAAATACTTGGGTTGGGGGGGCTGTGTAGGCCTAGGGGGAAACCTGTCAAGTACTCCGGAGGTTATGGTCCGCCATTAATTCAGTGGTCAGCCAAGGATCTAGAAATCATGGATAGACGTGATCGGCGTCTTGCTGAGCTAGCACTTGACTACTATCATAACACATATAAGGTCAGTGATTTTTTCAGGAAACGTGATTTGACTTTGTTTTTCTTCAATGGAAAAAAGTGGGTAAAATAACGTTTGTTAAAAGAATATAGAGAGAGTGATGATGGTAAGCATTGTGTTTCCCTCCAGGATGGAGTCACCTATGAGGTGGTGGAGGTAATGAGAAGCAACCAATTTGCTCTACCCGACACGGAAAAGTATATAAAGGCTCATACTAACTTCATTGCCAAGCCCAAAAACTCAAATGGACCCTCACTGCTCTTTTTCGTTGAGACATCTTATCCAAATTTAATTGGCAGACGCCTGGATGCCCGTACTACTACTGTTCACGTTTGCTACATGCTTGGCGCTGTTGGTGAAGGTATGTACGTCACCCAAACCCAAACCCTCCCTTGATAGAAGAATTTCTTTGTGTTTTCCCTTGCTTTATTTGCACTCATAAGTAACCCTCCTCGTCATCTTGCTTTTGCTCTGGATATGCTGCATGCAGTTGATACAGGTCTTAATGGCTGCCTCGCCTGTCGTGGAACCCGTGGACCAGCTCTTCATCACCCTCATGATGGAGTCTTTGATATTGGTTATGAGATGTATCGCTTGCGGTAGTTGGTGCATGGGCTGCTATCACGTAGTAGTGATTAATCTTATTTGCCTGATTATCTTTATTTGTAAAACAATCCTTGTCAACCTATTTACTCCACTATCTTCTTAGTTACAATGATAGTCTAGGAGGAAGTCCAAGTAGTTAAGTCCCCATCATCTAACCAAAGTCTGTGAAGTTAAAACATTTCAATGTAGTTGCAAAGAAAAAAACTTCATGTCTAGAAAAAGTTACATATCTTCCCAAATATGTTAACTAGTTTATGTTTGTTTCAGAAGCTTCTTAATTAAATTGCACTTGTGTAGTTGTGTTGCTATTGATCTTTAGTCGTTCCTCATATGCAGCCTATGTGTCCCTTACGGTGCTTTATTCAGTTTAGTTCGCACAACGGCACAACATGTAATGAGCGATGCCATGATGATTTTTTATGAATACACAGATCAACTGTATTTCATGTAGTTGAAAATATTTGTTTTCCTTCAATCACTGAAAAACATTCTAAAATCTAAATTGATAAATTATATAAATCAATTTATTCCAGATTAATCTATTGATAATTGGATATGAAAATTGAGCTCTGAATCGATCATTCGTTTTTTAGTTAAAATTGTTCTAAATATTTTTATTTCTATTTCTAATGTGGTAATTGAATTGAAGTATTGAAGAATCAAACAAAGTGAGTTGTACATAGGCATGGCCTTGGGCCGGTCGGCCAACCAAATGTTTTTTCGAAGATACAATTGTTGAATTTAACAGGCCTTGATATGGTGATGAATGTTATAAGATGATAATCACGTAGGAAGTGTTCCATGCAAATATGCAAAAAAAGAATCTTGCATACTAAAAAAGTGCTCCGCGTAAAAAATCATTGGGAGCCTCTTCGGTGCATTCATATTGCAGGATGTTTTGGTGCATCTTACACTTGGCTGCATATCATTACACGTAAGTTGTTTCACTAAAAGAATAATGAAATTGCACAATGATCCCCGCCTCAGAGGTATTTCCATCATTTTAGAAATCTCCTCTGTCGCACATTCGTTCACCTTCCCTGAGTCCTCCAGTTCACCACCAGTTTCATCCCAGCTCTCAGCTCTCAGATCTTTCACGTTTCCTTTTTGAGCTCTCACTCTCCCACCTCTTTGCATCCATCCAATCCGCATTGTCTCCAGCATCAACATAACAAACTGGTGCCTGAATTCACCTCGCGAAGACGTCGTCGAGTAAGCTCTATTTTTCTCTATGCTTTTCTCTTTCTCCAAAACATACCCTTACATTCATGCCGTAAAAGCAGCTTGGTAAACCACCGCGATTAAAAATCTCTCCGCTCTCGTACAGTTCTCTAGCGCCTACATGCCTCCGAAGGAGCTCTGGTAAACCATTCGTCTCAGGTAAACATAATTTTTTCCTCTCCTTCTGCTCTTTAAATCAACCGCTTTATGATTTTCAATTGTTTAATTTTTTTGTGTGTGTGAATTCTTCTTCTGCTTTTGCTCTTAAAACCACCCTACCCAGGTTAAGTGTTTTAAATTGTTTAAAATTGAACTCAGGTGTTTTGAATTTAGAAAATATTTTAAATTCAAATTTTGTATTTGCTTAGACCTGGCTTAATAAGGTGATGCTATGGTTTAATTGATTTTAGGTTGTAATTGATCTTAAAGTCATCTTTAACGGAAGCGAACAAAAGTGAGATATACGAATGGAAATCATGAAATGATTAAATAATCTTCTATTTATACTCTGTAATTGTCATATTTGTTGGGTAAATCATCATATTTTGACTAATACTATACTAGAATAAATGGATCCCTGGACGATTGAGTTTTGTTTGAGTTTTGTTTAATATGTACTCATATAGCAAATTAACATATTTTATACGAGTATTATCAGACAACGGCTTGTAGATTGGCAGTCACTCATTTCATCCCCAGCGTGCTGAGTCATATAAAATCACGCGTGGAGCCCGATCACGCGTGACATAAAGGTTGTGGGAAGCGATTAATGTCCGACATAGAAAAAGGGGACTTCACTGAACCGGGCGTGTCATGTTTGCAAAGGTAATGCCCATGATAAACGTAATTGTCCAAAACTAGCAAAAGGTTATAAGTAAGTCTATTTATGTTACATGTGATGTATAATCTTTCATAAACTAAATTAACTGTGACTATTTGTATATTATTGCAGGGAGGTAACAAATGACACAATGGAGGAACAAGTGTAATTGATTATTAGGAGCAAATGTTGTGCGGCGTGGAGAATTGTTTATGTATTTTTAGCTCAAGTGTATACTACTAGTACATTTCTGGTGTTTTACTTGTAATGGAAATACTTGTATTGGAGTTTTTTCATATTCAGGATTTCACATGTTGAGATTTCACATGTAATGGAAATACTTGTATTGGAGTTTCATAACTTGAGTGTTTATGTAGTTATGTACTGATGTTTTTTAGTATTTGCATTGGAATTTAAGAAGCCTTGATGCATTTCACAATACAAAGAATCTATTCTGATCCCAAGCCAACTGTTTTCAATAACCTCAGGCCTAACAATGGCATTTATCCCAACAAGCATATGTAATAACTGCAAATCGTTCATTGGAGTTTGAATTGTGAGCTGTACGTTCTATTTGTGGGCTGCAGATTCCTCATTTTTAACTCTCTTTTTGGTTTTATTAAAAAAAAAACTCTCCTGGTTTTTCAAATTCCCAGTCCCCAACCTCTTCTGCCAATTGTTCATTTGATGGCTCTCTCTATTGAACAAACTCAAATCAGCCTCCTATCCCAGTAGTTCTATTTTGTTCGTTTTGTGTATGTTTTTGTTTATGTTTTTGCTGAAAACGGCTTATGAGGGTCAAGAGGCATTTGGATTTTCCAGAAAGAATGAGTTCATAAATGGAAAAGTTGCTGCAATTGGCTTTCTACTGCTGCTAGATTTTGAACTTCTTACTGGTGAAGGTCTTCTTGGAGCAACAGGAGTGTTGGACTTCCATTTATTCATTCTCTAATTTTCTAAAATGAATTGCCATGTAGTTTAAGAATTGGGAAGTAATGTAATCTAACAATCTCATCAGAAACAGAAAACGGGGAGCAATTGTGATATGCATGCCATCACTTTTCAACTACAAATGATAGCAAATACTTGTACATTTTTCTTTGTGTTGTAAAAAAAGTTAAATTACCAATAAAAAACTAAATTAGTCACTAGAGAAAAAAGTAATTGGCATTTAATCCCGTATTGCATTACATTTGACTCAACTTCTACTTGTTAAAATGAATACACTAATTCTTTCATAGTACAACTTTGCCTCATACAAATACAATGATGTTACTTCTAACTTGTTACTAACCACTGAAGAGTGATTGCTATTATAGCAACTACAAAACAATACTTATACATTTAAGTTGGTACACGCCATATGAATATGGCGCAACATCCACACTTGAAATACCAACGCCCCTTGTTGGTACCGGGCCTTGTTTCCCTCAAATGCATTGGACCACAATGACATGGGCAAAAAAATTCTTCTACAAAGGCATTCCTACAAAATGACATCCCTGATATTATACAAACATCAATAAAACATCCTTGAAATAATTTATACAGCCTCATTCTTCCTTCAATTGCATACTCACTTGGTAATATTAACAATAAAAAAAACAGCCTGTATTTGATTCAAAATTTCAAGAATTCATGAGTAAATTTCTTTTACAAAAATCCCTAACCAGTAAATTTAATACAAAATTCAGAGCACAACTAGTCACTAAGAATTTAAAAACAGTCCTAAAGTAGTAAAGTGTAATAATTAAGAATTTATAATCAGTCCTAAAGTGAAATCACTAAGAATTTAAAATCAGTCCAAACGTGAAGCACTGAATTCAGAGTTTTTTGATTTGGAAATTGACTTCCGTTGAAGATCAATTCAACCAGTTAAAACAATTTAACAACTTACGAAAAGTGAAATAATTATGAATTTAAAATCGGTCCTTTCAAGTCTTAACAAATTCGAAAATTTTAACCAATTGAAATAATAAGTATCGGCTAATATTTAGCTTCCAAGGAGAAGGAATAAGCTCTTGTATTACCTGAATAGGGTGGCTTCTTGATTTGAAAGTCAATTTAAATAGAAGGCACGCCCATACAGAAAGCTCCTTCGCCGGCATGAAGGCCGCAGACCACAAGGAAGAGGCGTGCGGGAGCGGATAGTTTTTTTTATCTTAGGGCTGAGACAGGTTTGGCGTAAATTGAAGAAGTGTGTTGTGTTTTTAATGAACAGACCATCTCAACCGTTTAAAGAATCGGAGGGCTGTTATTTTTTTGGACGGACAGAAAAGGGGTGCGGACGGACGCATGAGAAAACCCCTCTATACATACATATCTTTATCTTTATCTTTATATATTATATAAAGTAGCAAAATTGCTACAATTTTTGGAGGCAAAATTCCCGCCCAAATGAAGGGTATAAGTGTAAATTGTGCACCATCGAATTAATCTAGAGTTCCGATACTTCCATATGTGTAATACGTAGTATGTATGTGCCTTAAATAAAATATCTTTACATTAATAGAGCATTTGTTGCTAATGAATGTGTCTTAAATAACTTACTTATAGATGGAGAGCAACACGTGTTTAAGTATTCTTACTTTCCTTTTGTTTTCAATCCCTTATAAGAAATAACTAGTCATTACACATTTTTTAATTATGGAAAAATACTCTCAAACAAAAATTATGGAAATGCAAATATTTTTTGAACTTCAAAAAAGGAAATTTGGGCAACCTTTTCAGGACGGATGAAGTATAAAATAACCGTGTTTGGACAACAATTGGAGGGAAAAGACATAATAGAGAATTAATGAAAAACTTAAATTTGGTAATGCGTTGAATGACCATTAATAACCATAAATAAGTGACTAACATAGATTTTTTAAAAAGTCACAAAGGAAAAAATCAGTCATGGATCTCAGCAAAGTAATATCTCAATTTGTTTTTTAAGTATTGTAATTTTTTATATCTACTCCAGGGGCGGAGCTAGGGGGTGCCCAGGCTAGGCCCTGGCCCGCCCCAAATTTGAAAAATGTCAATATTTTTAGTGTAAAAAATTTCTTGTAATTTTTTTCCCAATAATATTCTTTGTACCGGCCCAGTCTAGCCCAGTGTCCTGGCTACGCCCCTGATCTACTCCGATTGTGGTATAGTGTACTTATTGGTCATTAATGTCCTATATACATTTAGCATTAATAATAAAAATTTCTAAAAATGAAAAAGTTGAAATATGAATTCA